ATATAATGCAATAAGAGAAGAAAGAAATATCAACAAAAGGAGAAATATAAACAAAAAATAAAAGCTAATCTCATCATCCCTCCACCTAGAGAGTCCACTTCTTAGATTCCTTGATCCTTCAGTTTGATCTGATTGATACTCATGACCATACACAAATGTTATATCGCAATATATAATCAACATATTAAAATATCACTCTCTTTTGCATGATAGAAGAGGGTGGAAAAGAGTCAAAGCAGAGTAAATTCACTTTAGTGGCAGATTCTTCCGAAAAGAGTATATATATATATATATATGTCTATATATCGATAACTTTGTCATAAAATATTACACACGCCACGATCTGCAGAACGACCACGAAGCTCCTCAGTCTCCCTTTGAGCTCTCTCCAAATATTCTCTCAACTTGCGAATCTCGTTATCTGATTTCTTCTGTGCTTCTTTCGCACTTAGTTCTGCCTCCAACCGAGCAGCTTGCTCTTTCGCCAATTGCTCTTCAAGCCTATGTGTGGTATCCTTCAGCTTTGACTCAACCTGTCAAAGATGTAACATCAGCTACATAAAAAGCTCAAAGGCACTACCTTGCTATAAGATGGCAGACCTAATTCATAGATTATAACGTACTTCCGTAGCACCAAAATACTACATACAATTCAACAAAGTTGTATTTGTATCGTCACTTTTCAAATGATCTTTTTCATCTTATCATTCTAAGTTATGTTTTTAGGATATATTTAGAGAATAGTTTCCACATCTATTTTTCTTTTTTTTTTTTTTTGATTTGCACCAGGTGTCCGAGTCTCTAAGAGCCCCGACTAATCCCGGGGGTGCATAGGCCCTCGGCAAGGAGTTTCCCGCAAGTGCACCACGGTTAATTCAGGTTTTGCCCAGTCCGATGGCCCTCAGGAATTGTTTGCACCAAGTGGGTTTCGAACTTGAGACCTTGAAAGGGAGCAAACCCCAAGGCTCAAGTTAATTGCAACCAGGCCAACCCCTGAGGGTTGTTTCCACATCTATTTTTTCCAAAGTCGAATTAATTCATTTACGAAATTGAGGGGGACAGAGTACAATGTGTAGCAGAAATGACTTACAAATGCAGAAGAAGTGAAGTACATTACTCTAGGTAGAGGGAACAAGACAGCTAAATTACTATTTTCACTGCTCGTAAGCGATATGATGTTCCACCAAACATGCCAAGTAAAGTCCAGAAACATGAAAATCTAGAAAGCTAAGGAAGATCGCTCAGACTTTTTCCTTTAGAGCCTTTGGCAAAGTCTAATATCTACCATGATTTCCAATCCCTTGCTATTACTAAAAATGTATTGCATAATTAGCAGAGGCAAACATTTGGCAATATAATATAGAAGTTGATCAATGACTGATGAATTAATTTCATGTAGTAAAAAGAGTTCAATAAGATCAAAGATACCACTTCAGTTATTCGCCTCAGTTGCTCTTCATATGACTTCTGCATTTGTTCCTTCAACTCTAATATCTCTTGCTTCGAATATCCCACCAAGTTATTAACCTCAGTTGCTTGATTTTTAAGTTTGATGGCTCCTTTCTATAAATGAAACATTTCAATTAATAAGTGGCCCAGTTGCTGGATAAGTACAGAGGTCAATTGAATTGATAACACATACCTTTAATTCCTTGAACAAGTCATCTGTATATGGTTTTCCACCATTATTCTCTACGACCACATTTACCAGGGAAAGTAGTTGTTTCAATTGGTCGGCTTTCTTCAAATGATCTTTAGACTTGTTATCAAAAAGCACTCGCCTATTTCCACACATGGCGAGGATATCCTAGATCATAAATACAAAATACTTTAAGTTGAATATATCTCATACTTTCACAAGTTTGAAGACGAAAACAAGAACTAAGAAAGCCAACTAAAGTTTGACAATTGAATACTAACTATACATAGCTCTATTAGTGGAAAAACTTCTTTTCCTGACTTTTTGAAAGGGGAAAAAAGAAGTCTGGATCTCAAAAGTTCAAGATGTATTGTAATTTTTCTCCCCATTTTCTTGTCCTTTAACCCTTCAAACCCTGACTGCAACATAAAACTATTAACCGGTGCTGATTTTGCTAGATTATCAACACAAATAGAGTTCAAGCTAGCTATGTTAGTAGAAGAACTTCATTCTTTCTCGTTTTTCGTAGTTCCTTATTTTTTTTGGTTATTATTTCACAAGTCAAGTCAGATGATTGGAATAATCTTTTTCCTATTACCATCCAATCACACAGAGCAACCCTTACTACCAACTCTTGCTTCTCCCGCCATCCCCCAACCCACCCTCCACCCCAAAGAAAAAAAAACTTTTGCCTTTTTTCCCCACATCTTGTACTAGATTCATCCCACAAGCTAATGTTCGCAACTATCAAGATGTACAAATCTCCAAAGTGCTGGAAAACAAAAAACTCTTGAACAGAAAATTTTCTAAATAAAAGTGAGATTATCTCTAAGCACATTATACCTTTAAAGGCTCAGGGCAGTCACGACCTAGGTAATCCTCCAAAGTTTCTTCATTGTCTTCAAGATCATCCCCACCAGTAAAAACCAGAACCATGTAATCACTAATTTTGCCCCCAAAGAACTCCCTCAGACTCTGAACAGCAGCTTGTTCTTCTCTTGAAAAGCGAGTCCGCACAGATAAAACTACAAGAACAGCATGAATCCCATCCTTGGCCATGTTGATGCACTTAACAATCTCATTTCCAATAAATTCAGGCTCAGCAGAAAAATCAAATAATCCTGCAATTCCAATAGTCAGCTACTTTCGACTTGATGTAGTCAAACAACAGATTAAGATCCAATAAAAGAGCATCTTTATATGGGGAATTTTCTAGTGTTGAGGCCCCATTGTTCCATATGTTCACACATTTCATTTGCAAATCTGGTGCAGCGTGCTTTATCAGTCTCTTTAGATAACTCGGGAACAGTTAATACCATATGAGGAGTGAAAGAAAACACAGTAAGATTGTTTCTCCAAGTAATTTATGATCTGTAAAGAAGGATATCCCATTAATAAGTTTCCATACTTTAACAAAACAAGATACATAATACACTGACAGTTCCGATTACACAATGACCAATCGTGAATTCTTAGAGAACTCTTTTCATGCCTTTTTATGTCTGCTAAAATTTGGATTGACTTGTTTCAGCATTTTAATTCTTTTAGAACAAATCTGTCGTCAAAGCATATCACTGTTTATAAAAAGTACACTACGAGCATACAAATATAGATACCAACATTTCATAAAGAAATCTGCACAAAATTCCATCTTTACTTAGCCAAAAAACAATTGTTCTAAAAGTCATTAGTTATAAACATTAGACAGAGTAGTACATGGCTTACTTGAACTCTTATCAATTATTATAATACTAAGAAAAAATATTTATAATACTAATATAGTAGCTTATTGCAGTAAAGAAGGAAATGAAAGGACATGCATCTTATACCAGGGGTATCAATCACATCGAGTATTTGTCCATCTTCTAGTACAGTCCTCTGTAGCTCACAAGTACTCGTAACACCAGCCGAGCTAGACATTGACCTGAATGCCTTTCTTCCAAGAATGCTATTGCCTGTAGCACTTTTACCATTACCTGTACGCCCAACCAGAACCAGAGTCCGAGCTCCATTTGCAGCGAATTCCCAATCATCACTTATTGCACTTCCACCCATCTTATCTTATTGAATCAAAGAACATAAAATGAAGGAGCAGTTGGATAAATGGTGAAACAGTAGGGTCAAAAGATGCTGCTGTTCAAAGAGTACAACACTGATAGCTATATGATATAAACATTATCAATAAAACAAACTTTTCTTAAAGCAATTGTAAAACCTGAATAATGAGGTTTACATAATGCATGTGAAAGTAAGTAAACTCTTAAATAGTAGGTTCCATCAAAGCTAGGCTTTTTTTCCTATGGAGGTGAAATAAATTATGTCTAACTATAATAGTTTCGGAATGGTTAATGGATGAAAAGAGGTAAGGAAATAGAAGAATGAGAATACAGACAGTTTAAGGGACTATTCAAGGATTTCATGCAATACTATAAGATCCCTAATTATTTTTTCGAATGTCTTTCTTGGTGGTTTGTACAAGCTCGAGATTATTGGATCTAGAAGGAGTTTGAGTCATGTTCCGGGAAATTCCAATAAGCAGACTAAAGGGATGAAGTTGAACTCTAAAACAAAGTAAAAGAAGAAAGCCTTAAGAATTTCACCTGACAGCCCTACAATTAGGTCCGATCAATCTACTAATGACCGCAAAAACATAATCAACTTGTTTGAAAACCTTCTGACTATTAATATCTGCATAAGATAGCTTATAATGCGGATGAGAATCTGTTAAGAAAAGTCAAGGAAATCTTGAATACTGGTTTAACAAACCATCATACTGGTGAGAGACATATTTGGGAATAGCTCGATGAATAAGTGAGAGGGTGAGACCTGAATGTAAATCCTCTGAAGTCCCAAGACCTCAATCAACACCAGGTTAAACACTCAAAAGTAACTCCAGGCTAGCACCCAAGTGTGTGGCCTAGGGTTCAATGGTGTGAGTGAAAACCTTGGAGACCACAATTCAAACTCAACAGAGAAAAGAAAACGCTAGCGATTTTTTCCTATCTACCTAAGCCTTAGGGGGAAAAGTTATCCAATACTTGTACTGGTTGGAGGTAGTAGGTACCACATGGAGCTAAAGAATGCGCAGTAACGCAGTATTAAGAAATATAGTACTACCTCCGTTCCAATTTATGTGAACCTGTTTGACTGGGCTCAGAGTTTAAGAAAAAATTGAAGACTTTTGGAATTTGTGGTCCTAAACAATTCAAAAAGGGGCCAGAGTATTTGTGTGGTTATAAAAACTTCTCATTAAGGGTAAAATTGTAAGTTTAAGCTAAATTGTTTCCAAATTTAGAAAGGGGTCATTCTTTTTGGAACGGACCAAAAAGAAAAAGGTTCATGTAAACTGGAAATGAGGGAGTAATAACATACTAGAATCCAACTCCACCCTAGACTAATCAAACAATAATAGTAATAACAACATACTAGAATCCAACTCAAACACCCTAGACTGCCATGCACAATTTCTAC